TTTAAATTGGCTGTTGTAGGTGGCGCTATAGAGCCAATTTCAAAATTTAAACTTTCAAATGACCTAGACGCAAGAGTTAAACCATGGATTCAAGTTTTGTGCCAATCACACTTTGTTTGTGCAAACGGAAACAATTTTTCTATTGTAAAAAACTGAAAAAAAATACGCCACTTTTTGGCGCTCTGCTGCTCGAACAACGTTTCACTGATCAAAATTCCCTGAAGTCATTTTGATGGTACATGTGTTGAGATGATGTGGAGCAATTTTGAGGCGAATCGGTGAAACGGCCGAGGTTGGTTTGATGTTTGTGTGAGGTGTACATTTGCAATGAATGGGAGCGTTTCTCGTCGCCACGGCAACAGGGTAAAAAATAAGCCTTGGACCCAATTGACTTTTTGAATCAAGAGGGCAAAACAGATTTATGTGCAAAATTTCAAACATTTTGAAAAAACTAAATTTGAAAATGCCTATCTAAAACTTTGAAATAGTCTGTAGGGGGCGCTAATGTGTCAATTTGAATTAATTCACCATCAAATGACCTAGACCCTAGAGTTGAACAATGTATTAAAGTTTTGTGCAAATCAGACTTTGTTTGTGCAAACGGGAGCAAATTTAATGTTGTCAAAAACAGCCAAAAAAAGGTCACATTTTGCCGCTCCGCTGCTCAAACAATGTTTCACTGATCAAAAATCCCTGAGGTCATTTTGAAGGTACATGTGTTGAGATGATGTGGAGCGATTTTGAGGCGAATCGGTGAAACGGCCGAGGCTGGTTTGATGTTTGTGTGAGGTGTACATTTGCAATGAATGGGGAGCGTTTGTCGTCGCCACGGCAACAGGGTAAAAAATAAGCCTTGGACCCAATTGACTTTTTGATTCAAAACGGCAAAACAGATGTATGTGCAAAATTTCAAAAATTTTGAAAAAAATAAATTTGAAAATGCCCATTTAAAACTTTGAAATAGTCTGTAGGGGGCGCTAATGTGTCAATTTGAATCATTTAACTTTCAAATGACCTAGACCCTAGAGTTGAACAATGTATTAAAGTTTTGTGCAAATCAGACTTTGTTTGTGCAAACGGGATTAAATTTAATGTTGTCAAAAACGGCCAAAAAAAGGTCACATTTTGCCGCTCCGCTGCTCAAACAATGTTTCACTGATCAAAAATCCCTGAGGTCATTTTGAAGGTACATGTGTTGAGATGATGTGGAGCGACTTTGAGGTGAATTGGTGAAACGGCCAAGGAGGAGTCGCTTTCCAACCGACATGTATGAAAACTTTTGCTGTTCATTTTTCCATTTTGCAGTGAAATTTATGGGCTTCCTGTTTGTCAGAGGGCGGGGCCATAATTATATTTTTTTCTTGTCTTGACTTGAGGAACATGTGTACCAAATTTCATGACTCTACAACAAACTTGATTTCCAAAACTCCCATAGGGGTATTATTTTGGCTGTTGTAGGTGGCGCTGTTCTGTCATTTTTTGAGTCCCATTAAAATAAACACCAAAATATCAAATTTTTCGCCAGGTCTGATTTTTGGGCAAAATTTAACAACTTTTCATGCATGTTCAGGGGGTCAAATTAAGGCTCAAAGTGCAGAAGAAAAAAGAAAGAAAGAAAGAAAGAAAGAAATTAAAGCCGCAAGCGGCGTCGAACGGCCCTCGCCGCACCGCGCGACTCCCCACACCGCGCGCACACCCCCCGCACCAAGCCACCCCGCACCACGCCACCCTGCACCACGCCGTCCCGCATCACGCCGCCCCGCACCAAGCCGCAACGCGCCGCTCCACAACGCCCCGCACTACGCCGCACCACACCGTACCACGCAGCACCGCTCAAAGGAGGTGGCGCCGCCGTGTGATGATTTGTTCCCGTAGCCATAGAAGAATGTTAGTCAAATTGTAATGAATATGATAAGTAGAGCTGGTTTGGCTCCCCATGTAAACTTTGACTCAGTCTTTAGGGGGCGCTAATGGGCCATTTTCAAATATTTCACTTTCACCTGACCTAAACCCTGGAGTTGAACAATGGATTCAAGTTTAATGCAAATCAGACTATGTTTGTGCAAACGGGAAAAAAATGTATGTTGTCAAAAACGCCCAAAAATAACCTCACATTTTGCCGCTCCGTTGCTTAAACAACGTTTCACTGATCAAAATTCCCTGAAGTCATTTTGAAGGTACGTGTGTTGAGATAATTTGGAGCAATTTTGAGGCCAATCGGTGAAACGGCCGAGGAGGAGTCGCTTTCCAAGCGACATGTATGAAAATGATTGGTTTTCATTTTTCCATTTTGCAATGAAATTTATGAGCTTCCTGTTTGTCAGAGGGATTAGCCATAATAACATTTTTTCCATGTCTTGACTTGAGGAACATGTGTACCAAATTACATGGCTCTACGACAATTTTGACCTCGAACCCATCCCATAGGCATTTTTAAATTGGCTGTTGTAGGTGGCGCTATAGAGCCAATTTCAAAATTTTAACTTTCAAATGACCTAGACCCAAGAGTTGAACCATGGATTCAAGTTTTGTGCCAATCACACTTTGTTTGTGCAAACGGAAGCAATTTTTCTATTGTCAAAAACTGAAAAAAAATACGCCACTTTTTGGCGCTCTGCTGCTCAAACAACGTTTCACTGATCAAAATTCCCTGAAGTCATTTTGATGGTACATGTGTTGAGATGATGTGGAGCGATTTTGAGGCAAATCGGTGAAACGGCCGAGGCTGGTTTGATGTTTGTGTGAGGTGTACATTTGCAATGAATGGGGAGCGTTTCTCGTCGCCACGGCAACAGGGTAAAAAATAAGCCTTGGACCCAATTGACTTTTTGAATCAAGAGGGCAAAACAGATTTATGTGCAAAATTTCAAACATTTTGAAAAAACTAAATTTGAAAATGCCCATCTAAAACTTTGAAATAGTCTGTAGGGGGCGCTAATGGGTCAATTTGAATTAATTCACTTTCAAACGACCTAGACCCTAGAGTTGAACAATGTATTAAAGTTTTGTGCAAATCAGACTTTGTTTGTGCAAACGGGAGCAAATTTAATGTTGTCAAAAACGGCCAAAAAAAGGTCACATTTTGCCGCTCCGCTGCTCAAACAATGTTTCACTGATCAAAAATCCCTGAGGTCATTTTGAAGGTACATGTGTTGAGATGATGTGGAGCGATTTTGAGGCGAATCGGTGAAACGGCCGAGGAGGAGTCGCTTTCCAACCGACATGTATGAAAACTTTTGCTGTTCATTTTTCCATTTTGCAGTGAAATTTATGGGCTTCCTGTTTGTCAGAGGGCGGGGCCATAATAATATTTTTTTCTTGTCTTGACTTGAGGAACATGTGTACCAAATTTCATGGCTCTACGACAAACTTGACCTCAGAAAAGTCCCATAGGGGTATTATTTTGGCTGTTGTAGGTGGCGCTGTTCTGTCATTTTTTGAGTCCCATAAAAATAAACACCAAAATATCAAATTTTTCGCCAGGTCTGATTTTTGGGCCAAAATTAACAACTTTTCATGCATGTTCAGGGGGTCAAATTAAGGCTCAAAGTGCAGAAGAAAAAAGAAAGAAAGAAAGAAATAAATTAAAGCCGCAAGCGGCGTCAAACGGCCCTCGCCGCACCGCGCGACTCCCCGCACCGCGCGCACCACCCCGTTCCACGCCGCCCCGCACCAAGCCACCCCGCACCACGCCGTCCCGCATCACGCCGCCCCGCACCAAGCCGCCCCGCACCAAGCCGCCCCGCACCAAGCCGCCCCGCACCAAGCCGCCAACGCACCGCTCCACAACGCCCCGCATACGGCACCAAAAAGTTAGCACCGCGCAGGTGTGGCGCCGCCTGATTGTTCCCGTAGTATAACGCTGGCAATGTTTTTTAGAGATGGTAAAAAAGCTGCTGTTACTGATTTGATGTGGCTATTCACCTGAAAATTTAAGTCTGAGTCCAGTGCAAACGGGGAAATACAGGTGAAGGAGTGAGTCCACTGGTCCATGTTCTCCTGCTGTCAGTGAGGCATAGATCTGAGTATTAGTTTACTATTTGTGTGACAACAAATAATGGAAACTAAGGCTGTTCTAAAAAAAAAAGTTTTACCCATTCTCCATTTGACCCAAGTGATGACTCCTGCTTGGATTGTACACATTTTCTTTTCATTCTGCAGTCAATATGGAGTTAGCTGAGACTAAGCCTCTCCTCACATGTTAAGCCTAGCGTACATCGACAGAGAAACTGGGGACAACTAGTTGCAAGGCGGCTTTTGGCAACTGAGAGGAGATGGTGGGAGATGATCAGTTGCCGAAATCGGTCGATGTGCGCGCTCTTACAACTGGAGATGATCAGTCGGTCTCCAGTTCCAGTCAGTTGCCCGTGTTCTACTTTTCGGCAACTAGTTGTCCTCAGTTGCTCCGATGTGCGCGCTCCATGCGCCGCTCCGACAGCGTGTGTGTATTGCGTGTATAGCGCGCCCGCAACAGTTTATGTCAGAAAACACACTGTAGTTGAGGCCAGTTGCTGTCGATGTACGCGCTGTTATTCAAGAGACTGGCCTGCGACTCAGAGTTGCCCGTTTTCGCCAGATTGTCGATGTGTGCGGGGCAGCAACTCAGAGGCGACGGATATAATCAGTTGCCAGTCCGATGTACGCTAGGCTTAAAAGACTATCGAAGATTCAATAAACCATTTAATGATCATTTTCTTATTACAACTATTTTAAAAATGATTGACCAATTTCAAAAATCAACTATTTTAGTAAACAATCATTTACAACTTCATATCTAGACTCTGGTACTGTCACAAGACTAAATGTCAATTATTTAAATAGTTGAAAACTAGTGCTAAAACAATATACATATTCGAGCCCTATTATTATTATTAATCGGTTTTGTGTAGAGTTTTTGGGCACTCAAGATGCTTCACAGGTCATTCTTTCACTGCATACACAGTGGTCAATTAATGAGAAAAACATACAAAATATAATATGTTCTTCCTTTTTCCCGTTAGGGTCAGAGCAGATGCCCAGACGTCCCACTCCACACACTTCCTCCAGCTCATCAGGAGGAATCCTGAGGCGTTGCCAGGCCAGCTGAGAGACACAGTCCCTCCAACATGTCCTGGGTCTTTCCTGGTCTCCACCAAGAAGTGAAGTTGGCTGAATGACTAAGTTTACAATCTCACCAGCTGCATTAGTGCAGTCAGCTGATGCTTTAAGTCATTATCTACAAGATGAAACATTGGGACTAGGGCTCTCTGTGGGTCACAGGGACCAGGGCTTATATTGGAGGTTTGAGGGTAATTTTCTTTAGTGCAGTACAAGTACAGAGTACAGAGGGATACATGCCACCTCACTCCTAACATCACGACCTTTGAACTTTTGAATACCTGTTCACTTCACACTGTCTGAAGCGAGGGTTCTCACTTTTCATGGTTTATTGTTCTCTAATGTTCTCATGTTCTTGTTTTACAGTATAACCCTTCTCATCCTCAAAACCTGAAGCACTTCTTCTCATCTCCTGCATCCCTTAAGCATCTCATTGAATTTTCAACTTGGATATTTGGAGTATTTTGGGTGTGAAGATTGAGTTCCTGTCAGTCGGAGGCAGCTCTTCCTTCATTGTGCATCAACATTATCTATTGTTAAAACAAAGGCATGGTTAGGGATGTTTGTAAGCTTCGCACACATGCAAACACATGTGACATTAACATAACAATAATAACATTCAGAGCATTAAACTTACAGATATAAACAGTTCACATCATGACAAACTGGAGCAGAGCTCGGTGAGGCACCGAGACACTGCAGGGCTTTCAAACAAGGCTCTATGTCTATACATTTTTTTATCCACTTTTAAAATTCTGTGCCATTACCTTATGACTTCATGTGTTTAATAAAAGATTATTTATAACAAATAATGTCGACATGTAAATGGCATCTTTTCAAAGCTTGTTCTGGGAAGGCTGTCTTTGGTATTACTGTAAGCTAACATTTTAATACCATAATTTAATACTTTTTATTCTATTTTTGTTAATTGGCTACTACAGTGAATGCTACCTATATTAAGTTTTCTAGTTGGGGGAAAGAAGAATTTAGAAACTTTAATCCTAAAATTATAAAACAATTCAAGTGTGCTTGTGGCATTTTACGAGTGTAAAAAATATATTTAAAAACGAAATGACCAGGGGAAAATTGTTATTAAAGACAAGATCTTTGTGCTAACCAGTTAGCACTGCCCAAAGTTAATGCAAAACTGTTAAATATAGTCATTTCGGAGCCTATGCGCCAGCGCCGCGGAGCCGTGAGAGAGCGATGGAACCACGGATCTATTCGAGTGGAATCTGTACAAACTCTGGAACTGAGGAGACTCAGGATAATAGTTCCAGACAAAACATCGATGTTTTTGGTCTTTTCAACAGCATATAGAAAACCACATTTAAATAAGGTATTATTCATATATATCGTTCGAAAGCTAACACTTTTAACTTCCGTTTTATGCTAGTTAAGTTTATGTTTTTATAGCCCGTTGAAGTGGGTAACCGGTGCCTTTTTTAAGCCCGAAGTGTCCGACTTAGGAAACAGATATTTACCACTATTATTGTTTTGCTGTTTGTTCTGAAAACTATTTAATAATAACTATGTTTCCAACAAGAACTGTGTCTTTATTCACAGCATCACAGTTGAAATGACTTATAAAATAATGAATCCATAAAACTATCACATAAACCTACAGTAGAAACACTAGGCTTAAGGCCTGCACACTTAAACATTCCTTCCTTCCCATCACTGTAAACTACAGACTTAAAACATGGATTCAAAAGGCTCTGACTTGTACATTTGCATTTGTAACAACATAAATAACATTTTAATTTGGATATTCAAAGTTTTCTAATTATTAAAACCGAAATCATGCAGAGTGTAAAAACGTGACCCACCTCTTCAGACGCTAGACAAAGACTGAGCGAGGCGCATGCTATACTTCCGGTAAGAGCGTGTAGACCAATCAGAAAGGAAGGGGGAGTGTAGCGTCCCCGGTTGATTTGACTGGTCACTCGAAACTGATGGTTCACAACTTTATTGTTTCTTTGGTATGTGAACAACACCGTAAGAGCTAAAAGAATTCACACATTTAACAATTAGAAAACTTACAGTGAGACACATACAAACTCTATTTAAACCCTTAATTCATTACCATATCCCTTAACTTATTCCCTTTTTTATTACCTTAACATTCCCTTACCCTTAATTGCTTAATAATTATCATATATATTGTAATCAAACTGCTTCAAATTACCCTTTGTTACAACAGAGCTGTTAACGGCCGTTTTAACGCCCTCTAGTGGCCAAAGGTAGCATACAACTAACCTAACGGTAAACAAAAACGTTACATATTATCACAGGAAAGAGAAAATAATAATAACATTAAACGAACCTTGTTCCCTCATCAACCAGGTGCAAAGGGCTGAAACAAACCATAAAAAAAACCTTGACAGAAAACTATCAAGAACCAAGAGCTGTAGCACACAACCTTTTGGTCCAACTACCACTTTCTTCTTCCGTTGCTAGGCAACGACCTGTGGCCATGCACAACAAAATAAACTATTGATCATACAATAAATAACAGTAATAAATAATGGAAAAATATTAATTAAGTCATTTACACTCCCACCAAATCATTAGAGCTTAATAAATAAACCAAAAACACAGAGCGATAATGATTTCCTAAGGTAACCACACATTAGTCCGTAAGCAAAACAGTTTTGTTTCTCAGTCTCTAGAAGCAAAACCAGTTTCTGCACAGGGCAGTCAACAATTGACTGCCTTCCTGAAGAATGTCCTTTCACTATGTTCCTTGCTCCATAACGGATTTTCACTTTTCATACCAGTCCATCTTGGCCAATTACTGTGTCCATTACAAATTTTTAGCGGGGTAAATCCTCTGCATTTCCATGACAATATTTCCAACTTTAAAGTTTTTCCTTTGAGTGTGCCATTTCTGCCTTGTTGAAATAGAAAGGGACCAAAACAGTCCATTCCATAATATGTGAATGGTGGAGATGGGTCTAATCGCTCTGATGATCAGCCATCCTTTGCTCCTCTGTGTTTCTTTCTTGATTACGGCCTTTTACACAATGATGCAAGACGGATGCTACGGTTTTGTTGATGTAGGGAATCCAAAAATCTATTTAATCTGATCTCGTTAATTGTCCGTCCTTTTCCTTGATGCTGAACTTTATTGTGGAAATGTCCTATCAACAGTTGGGTGATGTGGTGATTCTTTGGTACTATGACAGGATGTTTTAAGAAGCTTGAGAGTGATGCATGTTTCATCCTTCCTCCCACCTTAAGGAGTCCATCGCTGTTGAGAAAAGCATCAATCTTATAGAGTTTGCTTTTGTGAGAAAGTGACTTTCCCTTTTTGAGCAGCCTTATCTCTTCTGCATAGACAGTAGCTTGCAGGTCCTTTTGGATGATACATTGGGCTTTCCCTCTTTCTTGTACTGTACTGTGGTTGGTTGTTTTGTCTCTTTTTACCAAGCGAATGAGACGAGCGATGGCTTGAGTGGCTTTGTACCATGAAGAAAATCCTTTCAGTCTGTCTGATAAACTTAAGTGTTCCGTTATGAGTGTGTTCCTTACTTGTACCTTTTTGACCTCTGGATCTCCGAGGGAGATGTCCTTTCCAATGTCTGTAGCAGGGGTTATTTCCTTCTTCCACAAAAGCTGGGTTCCTTTAAACCAGTCTGATGTGATGAGCTCACTTGCACTTGAGCCGCGGGATGCAATGTCCGCAGGGTTTTGATCTGAAGGGACATATCTCCTCTGCTGCGGGGAGTTGTTGAATCTTATCTTTTCCCTTTGTGTTTTTAGAAAGAGAATGTCGTCTTGTGACACTGAACTTTCATCCTTGTTTTCATCCTTGAAGTCACTGTTGAGAATCTTGAGAGCATCTGCCGGCGTCACTACGGGGAGCTCTTTGGTCGAGACTCTATGACATACTGTGGAGCTGCTTACATTGTCAGTGTGAGTTACTGTTGGACCTACAATACTCCACCCTAATGCTGTGCGAACTGCATAAGGCTCGTTCTCTCCTCCCAAGATAACCTGCCTTGGAGCCAGGGCCTTGGAACAACTGTAGCCAATTAACAGGCCTACTTCACATTCTAACTGTGGGGGAATCTCGTTTACTAATTCCACGAGATGATTCCATTGCCTTGCTGTGTCACAGGTAGGAATGTGAGGGCGGTTCACTGGGATACAGTCCTTTGTGTAAGCAGGAGGGAGTTCAATGAATTCGGCGGAGTTGTAGCCTCTGATCTTGAGACCTGTGACACGTTTACTTGGCATAACAGTATCTTTACCAAGCATTGTAGTCAGCCTTAACTGTATTGGAGTGGACTTAGCTTTGACACTGTTTGAAACATCTTCATCTATAAACACTGTGTCACTTTGGGTGTCTAAAAGTGCATAGACAAGTTGTTCTGTTCCAGGATGGTGCTCTGAGGAAACCCAAACTGGTACGATCATTGAAGTGTTTGCTCTTTGGTCTTAGTTTCTGTGTTGAGAGACAAGGAAGTTGCGGCTTGCTCTGTGTTGCATTGACTTTGGAGTTGACTTGTACTTGTATTGGCATTTTTATAGTTAAAGTCGTGTAGACAAGTGGGGTGTTTCTTTTGACACATTTCACACACAAGTCTGTAGCGACAATCCTTTGCACTGTGACCAGGTTTCAGACATCCATAGCACAGTCTCTTCTCCTTGATGTACTTTCTCCTATCATCAAGTGATTCACCTTTAAACTGTGGGCAATTGTGAAGCTTATGCCCTTCTTCTTGACAGAGTAAACATAGCAGTTTTGTAATTGGCTTATATTCTTTTGAACTGTCAGTCCCTGTTGCTATTTGTGTGTGCAGGATATTGCATGCTGATGTTTTCTCCCTCAGATTTGTTTTATTTGTCGTGTCTGATGAGCGGAGTGCATGGAAGGAAGTGATTGGATTGCACACAATTTCTGCTTCAGATGAAATGAACTGGGCAAAAACTATATAGGGTATAGTGTGGACATTCGGATACAGCCCAGGACTAATGTGACGGTACTTCCTGGTTCTCTGGGACCAGGACTAATGTGACGGTACTTCCTGGTTCTCTGGGACCAGGACTAATGTGACGGTACTTCCTGGTTCTCTGAATGCTAACGGCTCTGATCTTGTTTCCAGATTTGCAGGAGTCAGGTGAAGGAGACGCAGCAGCAGTTCTTCCACAGTTTGGCCGTGAGGCAGAGTCTGCCCCTGCACTTCAACATCCAACAGGACTGTGGACACTTCCTGGCTGATGTCCCGGGACGCCTGCTGCCCTGGGAGGAGGCGGAAGAAGAGGAGCAAGAAGATGAGGAGGAAGAAGAAGAGGAGGAGGAGAAAAAGGAGGGACTGAAAGACAAAGGAAGTGAAGAGGCCCAAACCACAGACTCTAAAGAGGATGGTGATGTGGCGGCGCCTTGTGGCCTGAGCGGGGGGTCTTTGAAGAGCCGGGTGGTGGTCATCACTCGGGAGGTTCCGTTCCAAACCGTGGCAGACTTTGTGCAGGAGGGCGTGTCCCGCCACACGCTGAACCCAGAGCTGTACGAACGACAGGTGTGTCTCCTGCTGCTGCAGCTGTGCTCCGGACTCCAACACATGAAGCCGTTCCACGTGACGCACTGTGACCTGCGGCTGGAGAACCTGCTGCTCGTGCACAGTCCGTCCTCAGGGGCCCAGGACCAGGAGGCCCCTGAGCCCAACAACAACACGCCCTCGGGCTGCCCCGCCCGCCTCATCATCAGTAACTTCTCTCAGGCCAAACAGAAGTCGTCTCTGATGGTCGACCCTGCGGTTCTCAGGGACCAGTCGCGTCTGGCGCCGGAGATCATCACAGCGACTCAGTACAGGAAGTGCGACGAGTTCCAGACCGGCATCCTGATCTACGAGATGCTGCACCGGCCCAACCCGTTCGAAGAGCATCCGGAGCTGAAGGAGCGCGAGTACACGTGGGCCGACCTTCCCCCGCTGCCCGTGCGCTCGCTCTACTCGCAGGGCCTTCAGCGCCTCGCCCGCCTGCTGCTCACCGTCAACCCCAGCGAGAGGATCCGCATGTGGGACGCCCGCGCCTGCTTGCAGTGCCTGCTGTGGGGGCCGCGGGAGGACCTGTTCGCCGCTCTGGGCTGCAGTACCACCTCCGGCCTCATGGGGGCCTCGCACTGTGACGCCACGCTGCAGAACTGGCTGGACCTGAAGCGGACTCTGATGATGATCAAGTTTGCGGAGCGCTCCATGGACTCGGGCGGCGGCGTGGCCCTGGAGGACTGGCTCTGCTGTCAGTATCTGGCCTTCGCCTCCACTGAGTCTCTGAGCCGCGTGGTGCACATCCTGCAGCAGCCACAGGGGGGCGCTCACAGCAGCACTCAGCACCTGCACATGAGCCCCGCCCAGCTCTGAGCTAACAGCATTAACAGCATTAACAGCATTAACAGCATTAAAGGTCCTTTCCTCATGATGCCCAGAGACAACAGATGGTTTAAACAATCATGGAACTTTATTTATTACTCACAACAAAATGTTTTTAAACTACTAAAGAAAGAGAGTCAATATTACAGGCCTCACAAACACACACACACATACACACACACACACACATATACATACACATACATGAACACACACACACACACACACCGCCTCCCTAGCTCACCCTCCCTCTCACCCTGCCTCCCCCTCTCACCCTGCCTCCCCCTCTCACCCTGCCTCCCGCTCTCACCCTCCCTCTCACCCTGCCTCCCCCTCTCACCCTGCCTCCCCCTCTCACCCTGCCTCCCCCTCTCACCCTGCCTCCCGCTCTCACCCTCCCTCTCACCCTGCCTCCCCCTCTCACCCTGCCTCCCCCTCTCACCCTGCCTCCCCCTCTCAACCTGCCTCCCCCTCTCACCCTGCCTCCCTCTCACCCTGCCTCCCCTTCTCACCCTGCCTCCCTCTCTCACCCTGCCTCTCTCACCCTGCCTCTCTCACCCTCCCTCTCTCACTCTGCCTCCCCCTCTCACCCTGCCTCTCTCACCCTGCCTCTCTCACCCTGCCTCTCTCACCCTGCCTCTCTCACCCTCCCTCTCTCACTCTGCCTCCCCCTCTCACCCTGCCTCTCTCACCCTGCCTCTCTCACCCTGCCTCTCGCTCTGCACCTGGAGATCATTGTTCTGTTCAAATGCAAATCACTGAAGTGACATATTTATAGTTAAACTCTGATCACTTAAATACTTTAATACTGAAGTACTTTAATACTTGACACGTATTAGAATCTGTAGTGATTTCCTAAATGTGGAAGAGGCCACTTTGACCATGAGGAAATTGGCTCCAGCTGATCTGGGAATTTCCTTGGCTGCATTGTCTTCCTCCTGTCACAGGAGCCAAAGAAAGCTGTTCGCAAACGAAGGCATCTGATTGGTCCATGCATACGGCTCATAACTTTATTTATAAAGACAAAATCACCACAGGATCAAAGAGAGCGACAAACCAGTTATTCACAATCACAGTCCCAGAGTTATCTCTACATTAGCTCTAAGTTATCTCTACATTAGCTCTAAGTTATCTCTTCATTAGCTCTCAGTTATCTCATCATCAGCTCTAAGTTATCTCTACATTAGCTCTGTTATCTCTACATTAGCTCTAAGTTATCTACATTAGCTCTAAGTTATCTCTACATTAGCTCTAAGTTATCTACATTAGCTCTGAGCTATCTCTACATTCTTCTCACATGAAACACAATCAGCTGATAATGTTGTTTACAGGTTTCTCATTTGTTGACGTCAAATTCAGTCCTAAAGTTAGTGTTTAAATCATTTAGAAAAGTAAAATATGCAGATTTGAAGATGTTTTAAACCAAAGACCGAGAATCCCTTAAAGACTTATAATTGAAGACGTCTGTCACAATCAAAACAAGTAAAGAGTACTAACATGTCACTTTTGTGGATGTAACAATTGTGCGGAACATAAATATTTCTGCAAAGAAAATAATTAAATAAAATCATTGAGACTTTTGTAAGAAATGTCGATGACTGAAGTTTATCTTTAGAGTTGGTTTTGACAGAGACTCTGACACACGGTTATACTTTATATATTATTATAATTATTATATATTATAACTTTTCACGGTTCATGCAGTATCATTATTCTCTGGATTTTAGTTTTATTGTTTTATTATCGACTTATTTAAAATTACGTGGTTGTTTTTTTACCTGACCGTGTCATAAAGGTCCTCGGTGAAGGACCAACCTGTTGGAGTTTTTTTTGTAGTGAAGAATGTGGACAGTACTGGCCACTGTCTCCTCCTCCACCACCATCATCATCGTCATCATCATCATCATCGTGTCAAATACTCAGCTCCAGTTGTGATGAGTTTATTGTATTTGTTTTCAGAAAGGCTAGAACCAATAAGAACAAGGAGTGAATATAAATGTGCAGTTAATGTGTTGAACCACTTTGGCCTCAAGAGGGCGCCATTTTGACACGTTTTCTTTTCATGTTCCACTGAAGCAGAAACAAGAGTTTTTAAGAGAAGTCTGCTCTGAACAACAATATGACAATAAATATGTTTTTAGAAAATAAAATGCATTTGTGTCGTCTGTGTTTTACTAAATACTAAAGCTCGAAGTTAAAGCTGAAGTACCTATTTTTAACTACTCCACAACGATCTTTTCAGAAAACACATCTTTTCTTTGCACAAAAATTTCTGCGTGACTTTTTGGCTGAGAAAGGCAAGGCAAGTTTATTTATATAGCACAATTCATACACAAGGCAATTCAAAGTGCTGAACAAAACAAGAAAGCATTAAAATCATAAATAATCACAGAACATTAAAAAGAAAGATAAAAATAAATCCCTCAGTTGTAGCACAGTTAAACAGAACCGTCTTTAACCTGGTTTTAAACATTGTCAGAGAGGAGGCCTGTCTCACATCTTCAGGAAGACTGTTCCAGATTTTAGCAGCATGAATCTGAAAAGCAGCCTCCCCATGTTTAGTTCTGACTCTGGGCACTAACAGGAGTCCAGTCCCTGTGCTCCTCAGAGTCCCAGCAGGAGGCCAGTCCCTGTGCTCCTCAGAATCCCAGCAGGAGTCCAGTCCCTGTGCTCCTCAGAATCCCAGCAGGAGTCCAGTCCCTGTGCTCCTCAGAATCCCAGCAGGAGTCCAGTCCCTGTGCTCCTCAGAGTCCCAGCAGGAGTCCAGTCCCTGTGCTCCTCAGAGTCCCAGCAGGAGTCCAGTCCCTGTGCTCCTTAGAGTCCGGGCTGGTTCATATGGGACTAACATGTCACTAATATATTTTGGTGTGAGGCCATGGAGAGACTTGTAACAAGCAGAGCTGTTTTAAAGTCTATTCTCTGAGCCACAGGAAGCCAGTGCAGAGACCCGAGAACTGGACTAATGTGGTCGTACTTCCTGGTTCTAGTCAGGACTAATGTGGTCGTACTTCCTGGTTCTAGTCAGGACTAATGTGGTCGTACTTCCTGGTTCTAGTCAGGACTAATGCGGTCGTACTTCCTGGTTCTAGTCAGGACTAATGCGGTCGTACTTCCTGGTTCTAGTCAGGACTAATGTGGTCGTACTTCCTGGTTCTAGTCAGGACTAATGTGGTCGTACTTCCTGGTTCTAGTCAGGACTAATGTGGTCGTACTTCCTGGTTCTAGTCAGGACTCGAGCTGCTGCATTTTGAATGTACTGCAGCTGTTTTACAGCCTGTTTGGACAGACCTGTGAGCAGGCCATTGCAGTAGTCTAACCTACTGGAGACAAATGCATGGATAAGAATCTCCAAGTCTGCTTTAGACACTATGTTTTTGATCCTGGCAATGTTTTTTAGATGGTAAAAAGCTGCTGATGTTACTGATTTGATGTAGCTATTAAAATTTAAGTCCGAGTCCAGTATTACCCCTAGATTTCTGACCTTGTTTGAAGGTTTTAGGGAGAGAGACTGTAGATGACAGATGACACTCTCTTTGTTTCTGGACCAAAGACAATCATTTCAGTTTTGTCTGCGTTTAGCTGAAGGAAGTTGTTTTGCATCCACTCACTGATCTGTTGGATACAGTGAAGGAGTGAGTCCACTGGTCCATGTTCTCCTGCAGTCAGTGAGACATAGATCTGAGTGTCGTCTGCATAGTTGTGATAGGTCAGTTAATACGCAGAAACAAAGTGTCCTAACGGCAGCATGTAGAGATTGAACAGAAGAGGTCCCAGGATCGACCCCTGTGGGACTCCACAGGTCAGGGCCATATGATCTGAGACACAGTTTCCAATCTCCACAAAGTACTTCCTGTCTTCAAGGTAAGACCCAAACCAACTTACGGCGGTGCCAGCGACGCCAACCCAGTCCTCTAGTCTCTGTAAGAGGATCTCATGGTCGACAGTGTCAAAGGCAGCACTCAGAGAGAGAGCATGAGGACTAGCAAGATGGCGCCGTGTCAGGGCGCCGCAGTGAACACACTGGTGCGCACAATCTGTGTTTTGTTGATTTTCGTCTGGGATTCACTTGCCACAGTGAAATATGATCGGCAAACACTTCTGTAGATTTGGGACCACGCGTGTGACGTGACGGGTCACTCGTTTTACCTGAACTGAGGTGCACAAACTTTCTCGAGTGTCCCACTCGAGAGGCTGGTGGAGCACGGCAGGCGGGCCGCGGCGGTGGCCGCCAACAGAGCGAGGGGACTGGGCGTCTCTGGCGTTCTCTCCGCGGTGTGGAGCTGGGCACCTCGAGTCGGCGAAGGAGGTGCAGACACCGGGGAAGGCGAGGCGGTCTGCTCGTTCATAGCCGCTCCTCCAGGAGTGTTCTGCCCTCCATCTACCTGGCCAACGTCCAGTCTCTGCCCAACAAGACGGACAAGCTCCTGTGTCGGGTCCAGAGCCAGCGCGAGGCCCGGGACTGTGTTCTGCCTCAGCGAGACGTGGCTCCATTCGAACGTCCCGGACTCTGCTGTTCAGCCCCCGGGATTCACCGCTCACCGCACAGACAGAGCGAAGGAGACCACGGGCAAGGCCAGAGGCGGAGGTGTGTGCTTTTTAATTAATCAGCGCTGGTGCACGGACACTCGAGTCGTGAACCAAACATGTACTGCCAATCTGGAATGCCTGGTCTTGAGCTGCCGCCCTTTTTATCTTCCCCGTGAGTTTTCAGTGATATTTTTATGTGCTGTTTACATTCACCCACGTGCGGATTACAAAGTAGCCCTACAGGATCTGAGCGAGATCCTTCACAAACATGAGTCTGCTCATCCTAACGCAGTCATCATTGTTGCTGGGGATTTCAATAAATGTAATTTAAAGACTGTACTCCCGAACTTTTACCAACATGTGACTCAAGCTACAAGAGGAGCACATGTTCTGGATCACTGCTACAGTAACGTGAAGGGAGCTTACAGGTCCAGTCTCAGACCTCCTTTTGGAAAGTCTGACCACTCCTCTGTTCTCCTTCTTCCTTCGTATACTCAGAGGAGCAGGGAACATAAACCAACCTCTCGCACTGTGCAGTGTTGGTCTGAGGAGGCTAGCATGAAGCTACAAGGTTGTTTTGATGCTACGGACTGGTCTGTGTTTCAGTCAGAGGACGTCAATGAATTCTGTGACGCTGTGTCTGGATACATACGCTTCTGTATTGACTGCTGTGTCCCACAGAAGGTCATTAACTCATTGAATGCCAGCCTATTTCAGAACAGGTACTCCCACAGTGCCAGCCATTTATGATGATTTTTACTGATTTTTCAAGACCCACAGAATATTGTGTACGATGACTATCTGAAATCCGACACCAGATTCTACTTTCCTCAGCAAAAAGAATTTTGTTTATAGCTTTTTTCGTTCCCCTGTAATCCTCCGTTGAGTAGAGGGAAGTTTTACTGAAATCACCAGAAATCACCAGAAAGTTGAGAAAAAAGAGGCACAACATGTGCACCTAACTGTTTTCAAACCATTCAGAGAGCAATGCTGCCACCTGCTGGCTCGATAAAATATGGTCTCAAGTCATCCCCATACATATTAGATACAATAGACATCTGGGAACGTGAAAATAGCGAAAAAGGCATTTGAAGTATTACGACGTTACTATTTGCTTTGACGTATTTGTGCGTCAATGGGACACAATGAGTTAAAGAACATTTTAGTCAAAACCCTTGGATGAACGCGGAAGTAAAACCGAGACTTCATGAGCGTGCATTGGCGTTTCAATCAAATGATA